CAAGTTAAAAAAGAAAACTTGATTAGCATCTCCAATTGCCAATACTACAGTGAAGTCACAAATGAGACAAAGCTCTTCCTCCCAGTAAGAGTGCCACACCACTTCTCATATGCTGACACTTAAAAATCTTTCAGTAGCCCAATGGTTTAACTTTCTAAGAGTACACATTACAGAAACGTGTATTATACACTGAAATATCAACTACAAGTGACTAAGTGATTAAAGAGGTAGGTTAACAGAATAAGGTAAAGTTCTATTTAACAACTACTATGACTATGTATCAAGACAGGCAATGGATACTTTTTTCCAAATCTCAGAAAAGGTACTATTATCCCAATGCTCAGCAAAGAAAAGTAATCTGTGCCAGAGCTGGAATTCAAATCTAGACCTGTTGGTACTCCATGACCATAATCTTTCCACTGTACTTCAACACCTTTTACTAGAACGAGACCTAAATGACAATACAGTGATAGAGAATGGTCATGAAATTATGACTTCCTCTTTGTTATTGTCTAAGGCAGTATTAAAGCGTATGTTCTTCCCATAAAAAATTACAAATGTATTTAGTTAATATAAGAAAACAAAACACTGCCAATGATATAATTCAATTTGATTATTTTCATTTAGGATACTCACTAACTCACCTGAAAACATGGAAGAAACCAGCTCTTGGTTTCCTGTTTTTATCAAATATGCTCCTTGCCCTCTATACTGGTTTAGTTCATCAACGAGGTACTCTTGATGTCATGAGTCATATTCAAAGCATCTGTTACAACAGTCCCAACAGACCTTCAGCTTCAGTATTCGTAATGATGCCTTGTCACTCTACTCCTCTTTACAGGTAATACAAATTACTCCACTGGGGCATTATTGAGAAAATGAACTGATTTCTTTACAATTCTTTTTCAGATTCCTAGGTTCAAATTAGTTGATCATTGATTAAAATGATAAGGAATTTTAAACTTCCTCTCACATTTATTCATTAATAGATTTTAAAAATCATTTGAATTTTATAAATGAAAATCACATGGTACTTTTAAATAAACATGAATATTCATTGTAAAACATTCAATTATTTATATTTAAATCTGATTTAAATTAGAATAAAACATTTTGTAGGTATTTGATAGATTTTCTTAGAGAAAGTATCATGGATCTTATTACTTATCTTTATGATACATCTTTTATTTACATAAATTTTAATTAATATGAAAATACCAAATTCTAGTCCAGATTCTACTGGAACTGTTGCCCTGGTCTTACATCAGTCTTTAATCTCTTTGGACATCGATTGTCTCACCTGTAAAAATTAGGGAATGCAAATAGATATTCTAATGCTTGAGTCAAGTGTTTTTGGGAAGTCTTAAATACAGGGTATTAAAGAAGGTACCCATTTGGCCCGATGTTTCCATGTCAGGAAGTTGTATTAATTACCAGTTACCCAATAATGGTATGACAGCAAGACAGCCAGCTTTCTTTAAAAGCTAGAGCATGGGGCTGGCAAGTGGCGTGGTGATTAAGGGTGCTGGACTCCCACATGGCCAACAGTTAAAATCCTGGACCAGGCAGCTTGCTTTCTCGCTTTCCCTTCCTCTCTGTCCCTCACCAGTCAAATTACGATAAATAAAAAGGTTAAATAAAATAACTCTTTAAAAAAAAAGAAAAAAGGCTAGAGGATGTGTGTGCTTGCCACAGAAACAGGGAGGGAAGGAAAAGAGACAGCACACCCGGTGGGGATGGGCTACTCCATAATCCTGTCTCCTCCATCCCTCCCTCCTTTTGGGATTTTTGGGCATGCGTGCATATACAACCAGCATACTTCTCAAGCCATCAGGTCTGAGACCTGAACCACACACTTGGCCATGAGGGATCTGATTACCTTAACCACCAGGCCATGGGGCAGGCCCAACAGCTTATTAAAATTGCTATGCCTATTTTAATTCAGTCTCGTTTTAAATAATCTGGAATTCCATGGGTACATTTGTTTTTTCTCTTTGAAACAAGACCTTCATGTCTAAAAGATTAATAAAAGCCATGTTATATGTACCTTATAGATGAAATAGGCCTGCATTGCATAATTACTTGTCTAACTGAACATTTTAAATCTTGTTATCAAGTGAGGTTGAATTTTTCCTGAGGCAGTTATAAACATGACCTATTGCATGGCCTAAGAAACAGGCTTAAATTGTCATGATCAGTATTAGAGATGGGCTCATCTTTAAAGTCTAGTCTTAAAAAAAAAAAAAAGAATTATTGGGGGACCAGCAGTTAGTGTAATGGCTATGTTGCTGGACTCCCATATAGTCGACCGCTGTTCAAGTCCCAGACCCGGTGGCTTAAAAAAACTCACACTGAGCACATGTGCATGCGCTCCCAAGATCCCGAGAGGAGAATGGAGAAGGGATTGTGGCATGGCCATCCCCTCTGGGGGGTGATTTCTCGCTTTGTCTCTATGTCTCTCTCGGTCTGTCTGGCGAGCGCATGCACCCTATAGTAAAAACCTCTCAAAAAAAAAAAAAAGATTTAACTTTATTTATTTACTTATTTTAATTTGACCAGAGAGCGAGAGAGAGAGAAACAGAGAGAGAGAAAATGAGAGAGCAAGCCACCAGGTTCAGGACTCAAACCACAGTCAACCATGTGGGAGTCCAGCACCCTTAAACACCACGCCACCTGCCGACCCCTCTAGTCTATAGTCTTTTCTATGCCACAATAAAAACATTCCTTATTCGAATTTTAATCAGTGAACATGTATTATGTTACTCTTAATGAATTTGATAGAAATACATAAGGAAAAACTGTCATTAGACAGTGCCACCCATCCCCTTTTAGCGCACGGAGGGAAGACAGCATGCATCCTTTCTCATTTATGACCATGGTTTTCTCCCCCGTCAAATACGACTATGGGAAATGAACACAGTAACTTACCTAGTCTTAAGACCACTGACGTTCCTGGAACAGCATACTAGTTTTCCAAAACGTTAAGTCTCCTGAGTTAACTGACCTACTTCCCTTCTTTCATGCTCTAGTTTGGGCTTGTAGGTGATGCTGGTGTTCAATGGTACGAGTCTATCTTTAAGAAAATGTTTTCAATGTTGCTTCCTCACCTTAACTGGAACACAGTGTACCAGCGACCATTTTATATTTTGCTAAGTATATACAAAATATCCTAAGAGATACATAACTTTCATAACTTTTTAAAACTATTACGGTAACTTTCATTTTCATAGCCATGTTCACTGCCCACTTCCAATGAGATTTCTGCAGTGTCCCCCGGACCTGACAAGAAAAAGTCAGTATCTTGACGAAGCAGATATATTTTATCTAAATCCCTTAAGTTGGTTACATAGAGAATTTCCTGATGATTCATTATTGCCTACTCACTTGATCATCTTCAGTGTTTTGGAGCAGGTAAGTAAACATGAAAAAAAGAACAAATTAGCATTTTTATTTCACCTCAGGTTTAACAAAAAAAAAAAAAAAAAAAAAAAACTAGCCTGTTTTATGATCCCTTTCAGTCTCCATGTTTCATAACTGTTCTTATCCTTAAAGTTATCTACAGTTCTATAACTATCAAGGTATATTACATACCATAAGTTCTTTCATTAAGATGTTTTATTGGGAACCAGCGGTTAGCGTAATGGCTATGTCGCTGGACTCCCACGTAGTCGACCGCGGTTCGCATCCTGGACCCGGTGGCTTAAAACTCACGCCGGGCGCATGTGCGTGCATGCCCAAGATCCCGAGAGGAGAATGGAGGAGAAGGGACTGCGGTGTGACCATCCCCCCTGGGGGGTGATTTCTCGCTTTCTGTCTCTCTCTCTCTCTGTCTGTCTGGGGAGCGCACGCGCCCTATAGCAACAACCTCTCCAAAAAAAAAAAAAAAGTAAAGTTGTTGAGGAGCCATTAGAATAAGCAGTTCTGAACATCTTTGAGATAGTACTCAGCCTTTATTTACTTGAACATTTACTTCTAGGAAATAAATGCTTTCCTAAATTCAAGAGATTATGAAAGGACTGCAGTTTTCTTCCACACTCACTTGCCAGAGGGTCGAATCGGAAGTCACATATATGTCTATGAAAGGAAGGTAAAAGTGAAGCCCAACATATGACTTTCTAAACCATGCTTTGACATTTCCCAGAGAAACCAACACTGTAGGTTGGAAATATTTGGAAACTACTTAATTCCTCGAAAACACTGGGGAAGACTCGTGAACTTGTGAAAAACTACAACTGCTAAACCAAGTACTACTACTGAGGCAATGTGTAAAATACCAGTGTATAAAATCACATAGTACAATGCTAGATTTTAAATAAAGACCTTTAGTTTTCCTCATGGTGTAGTTTTATTGTTTCTTCCACAATATTCAGATGTGCAAGAAATCTCACAAGAGAACAAGTCAGCAAGCTCTTAAGAGGGCAGCAAATTCTTCACAAGTCAACGGGCTCTTGAACCCACAAAAAGACAAGAAGCAAGTGTAAGGTTATAAAATGTTAAAGAGAAATTCCATCACAATGTACTTTTTTCAAGCTCTACTGCAATTTAACACAAACATCAGTGTTAATTACACTCCGTCACATATGATTTGAGCTTGCTTTAAGCTCACACTGAAAAGAAGTTTCATTTCATGCACAAAATCTGTTGCATGCCCATCTTCCTTAATAAAACTACTGTTGAACACTTCCAGTGGCAAAAAAATTCAACCAGACTAAACTACAGGAAAATGCGGATTAGTAAGCTTTGATTGATGCTTCTGAATAGTAAGTCATCAAACTGATACTTAGAAAAGGAAAAAAAAAAAAAAAAGGATATTGTCATCCTGATAAATTCGTCTTAGTTTCAACACCAAATATTGTAGAAAAGCATCGATGTTTCTCTTACAGTTTCCTAATGTTACTTAATTGTGAATCAGTATTTTGGATCAAAGGGTAAGTGCCCCAATTCTATTTCAAGATTTGCCATGTGTCTTCCATTAGTGCGACCATATTTATGCCATTTACCTTCCCTTTTATAAGGCTGTGGCTGAAGATGCTTCTGCTCTTGTTTTCGATGCCTGGAGTTTTCAATATTTACCATACGTTGCTTTTTATCAGGTCGACTGAAAGCAGTAAACACATTTTTCATCTATGTTAGAGTTCAATTTATTTAAATTAAAAGCAATTTCAATGTTTTTCTCCATTAAGCTATTATCTGAGCACTGAAAAAAGGTGTTAAGTCCACCTAAAACTAATCCTGGCGTGTCCATACTAAATGTCAAGAGTGAGTATTACCACTTTCTCCTAAGAAAAAAGCAGACAAATGTAACTGTATTGGCAACGAGGGGAAACACCCAACAAATAACAGAAATGTGACAATAAAATAATGAGATATGTTTCTATTATTTATCCTCCTTTCCTATAAAACCCAGTCCCTCCCCCAGTGGCTTTATCCGTCAACAGAAATATATTGACCACTTTTACAAGTAAAGGAAAACACTTTCTTTTTCTCTTAGAGCAAAAGCTCACAATGACTATACTACGTTCCTCAGTCTCCACGATCAGGTTCCTGTCACTACTTCACTGAAAGTACGTATTACCATGAATGGCCACCCAATTCCCAAGCCAAAATTATGATTTAGTCCTCCACTTTTCTCCAAACACTTCACACACCGATTTATTCATTTTATTGTCAAGGGCCTATGTGTTCACTAGAGGGCATGAGAGCACCCCCCTACACAATGGGATGTGACCTCGCTGCAGTCCTTGCTCCTTCCTCAATTGGGTCAGGATCTTCAGCACACGCACATCCATCCGGCATATTTCTCAAGCTGGCAGGCCCAGATTCCAACAGCACAATCAGCCATGTGGGATTGTTTCTAACTACTAAGTCACAGGGTGAGCCAACATTTTGCTCATTTAAATACTCCTTTAACATGATCTTGGGATTATCATGATGCCACTCTCTAATCTTGCTCTTCACTACAATCTCACGATGCTGGGACTTCTCTGGGAGTATATAAGTACCTCTAGCCTTGGCTGTCCACACATCCACAGAATCTGTGCTAGAGAAGGCCATGTAACTAGTTGCCAGTTAGTCCACACGTACACCGAAACTGTGCTAGAGAAGGCCATGTAACTAGTTGCCAGTTAACCCTTTTCATGTGAATGGTACCTCCAAATACAATTCCCCTTGCCCCAAAGGTTCTTCAATACCTATTTTAGTGAAATCACCAACAGATGACCCTGCCCTAACATCATTGTTACTTTCTACTTCTCCTTCACAAGAAATAGTAATTTTACTACCTATTCTTCAAAAATCTGTCTACTCTTTTCTACTGCTACTTTTTATACCAGTTCAGATACTTATTTAGCTCATATCTACATTATTTTGAACACCTTCTAGCTTCAGATCTTTCATAAATCCCCAAGGCTGCTGCAGTAATTTAAAATGTAATATAATCATATCCCATCCCATTTCAAAGTTATTTAGAAGTTTTCTATATTCTACGAAACAAATCCTTTAGCATAAAATGAGAACCCTCATGATCCAAGTCTTTTGCTCATGACCCGGCATGATACTGCTTCCTTAGAGTACTCTGTCTGCATATCTTAAAGTCTCTGCAAATAACCCTTTCTTTGAGCGAAATGCCTTCCCTACTAGCATAACATATTTTCATTTCTCAAAAGCTACTTTTAAGAAGTTCAGTTCAAAGGCCACCTCACTCATGAACCCATTCCAAAACATCTCCAGGCAGTCTGAGGCTACGAAACATATACTCTCATACCTTCATTTTAGGTCTTATAATTACCTGGCCTGTGAACGCAAAGGAGTTCACAGGAAGAATTTTTCACTTCCTCAAGGCAGCCTCACAATAAGCGCTCATTTAAGCCCTAGAGGTTGGTTTAATAACTAAAGACACCAGAAGCAGTCTCATTATTTTATAGACACATTATGTTTATTCAGTTACATATATATGTGTACGTATCACCAAGGTAAAAGTGAAGCCAACATTTAAAAATTAGGTAAGTTTCATGTTATAGAATATAAAGTTGATATAAAAATGGGTTAAAAAGTTCTGAAGCACACATATTAGAATTTCTAGCTTGCTGAGTTTGTCTCTAATTGTACTTCTACCCTTAGCAACAATAACTCTGTAGTAAGTATTAGATATAAGAAATTTGGTATGTGGAATGGACAATAAAAAAACTGATGGGACAACAGAATTGTTGTACAGGAGCTATTCTGATTTCAGAATAAAATTTGTGTTCACTAAATTGCTACTGATGTGTATAAAGTAAAAAATTGAAGAAAAATCATTTAACATGATTATCTTTTTATAGACTATATGGAAAAGAAATAAAATAGGCCAAAATAGGGTTCATTTATCCTTAACCATAATTTTTAAAGTAGGACTTAAATCATTTGCTTAAATGATTACAGGAAGTTCAGTTTGTAGTAACTATAATTTAACACTGTATCTTTCAATTTATTCTAAATTTATAGTGGCACTATAGCATGTCTTTTGCACACAGTGACCTTCCAATAAACTTAAATCATAAAAATGCTATCCAATCTACAAATGTTAGAAACTAGTATAAGAAGAACACGGTTTTATGTAAACCGACCTGGGTCCATATGGAGGGGGAAAAGTGTGACCAAAGAAGTGTCTATATATATATCCATCCAACTTCTCAAACACTCCATCATTATTTACTTGATACTCCTTCATGTCTTTAAGATACTCTTTAACATCATTAACAAAGTCCGTGAAGAGCTTCTGATCATGTATAAAGATACCATTTAGGAAAAACTTATTGATGAATTGACCAAGTTCTCTCCAATGATGAAAAGCATTCACTTCTTTTAATAAGTACCTTTCAATTAACTGTGTAAACTCATCTATCCTGACAGGATTCATCACTGTATTAAAAAGGCTAACAGATTCTTCACGAGCACATTCAAATACGCCAGAACAAGACTTTCTAAAAGAATA